GGCCTTTTGCAGAACAAATACAAATACGAAACAACAAATCAACAAAATACAGTACAAACATCGGGGGGGGGGGGGCAAACATGATACCAGATTGCAACATATAGCTAGCATCTTATCCGAAGTGGGGAGCGCACTGTACATAGTTCGTACTGTAGACTAAATTCATTGATATGCAATAATTTAACAATTAGAAAACGAGGCCGAGTTGTCTATGAGTGAATAATCAACGAGGCGAAGCCGAGTTGACTATTTGCTCATAGACAACGAGGCCGAGTTGTCTAATTGTTTTAGTATAAACTTTAACATTAATTTACAACTAGGCTGCAAACACAATACAAAAATACACAAAAAAAACACATTATAAAACCATTAAAGGTAAACAAATATTTTAGTTTTTGTTAGCCCGCGTGCAGGCCCAAGGGTGCAGGCTCAAGGGAACTTGATAGTGGGCAAGGCCCTGTATTTTGTAAAACGCCCCTTTTTATAACACGCCCCATTAGCGCGTCAATTGTCAAAAAAGAACCAATGACAGCAACCGAAAAAGTAAACAAACTAACATTAAAATGTTGCGGGGTTTTCTCTGCATATTCCGAATATAAACAATGTGTATATGGCTGCGTCAACTCCGAAAAAGCAAGCAAACCAGCCAGCTTCGAGTATTTGCCGAATTTGCAAGTGCTCGTTTTCAATTAAATTCGGAACTGGTAAACTAGGAAAAATTTCAACAGAAAACCTATTTCAAATTTCAAATCGCGAGGGAAGTCATGGGACCACATTAACATCAATGTGTGCTTCTGTCGGCATTATAATAAATAAATTGCCTCACTTATCGGATCGTGTATGCAATTCTTGTGGGCGGAAAGTACGCAATTTATTTCAGTTGTTTAACTTGGTGAAGAACTCTACAAACGAAGTTGTTCTGGGTAAGGATCGTTTCAAACGGCAATTACCTTCTTCTGTTTCGCCCTCTCAGAGAAGCCCTGCGAATCGTAAAGTTTTGCGAACAGGTTTACATGCAAGTGATTCAAGTGCCTCTAGATCTTCACCGCGAAAAGCGCTGTTGTCGTCATTACAAAAGCGACCGATTCAACATCAACCGAAAGATCGTTTTCTTCAGGAACATATGAACATATCTAATTTATTTGAAAGTAATGAAACTCAAGTGAAGGTTACTATTGCTTACGCCAGTGGTAATGTTACTATTCCAGCACTTGACAAGCAATCCCAAATGCTAATAAAGAATATTGCATTAAAAAACTGGAAGGCAGCTGCAAACGGATTTTTTGCGCACAAATCGTTGAAAGAAGAATTGCCTGCAGCATTACGACGTGCTGTATCATCAGAGTTTGTAGAGTACAGTCGATCAGACTCTATTCTAAAAGGCACGAAGCCAGACGAGCTAGCTGGGTTTTCATCAAAGCATCTTGTGGAAGAAATAAGAATTTTCTGCCCTCTTTGGAATGCAAGTGTCTATGGAGCATGTGGATCTTGACCTACGATTAATGTTATTGCTCTTTGCTGCTCGGTTGCTGCTCGTGCGAGAAATTCTACAATGTCAGCTTTGGCTTATAGAGTTTCTGCAGTGTTGTCCCATGCGGGTGTCGGCTATGATGACATGAGACGTTTAAACCGAATGGGCATTAGCATGTCTCCAGACAGGATGATAAACCTTCAACACCAAATAGGAGAGACTTACAACTCCAAGATTCAAGTATGGAAAAAAAACATTGAAACGAACAGGTCGACGGTCAAATTTCTTCAAGAAGTGAAAGAAAAGCAGGTTAAAGATTGCAACTCAGACGATATGGACATTGACACACAAATAGACTTGACGGACAATGTTGTAAACACCTACTCGTCGTATACACCCGAAGTACTGCAACAGGCTACTAAGCTGATTTCGAAAATTCAAATCTCGCCGAATGAAACAGGTGTAACAGATGAAAATTTGAAGGACGCAATCAATCATCTGGAATCTGAGAAACTTCCTTTGTACAAGTAAGCAAAATTTTTATTAATGTATTCTGTACTCGGGCTAGCTTGTACATTTCATTTGTCATTTATATAGCCTTTCTCACGAATGTCAAATTCACAATTTTTGGAGCGCACTTTTTTTTGAAAACGACGTGAAAAATCTAAGCGATGTGAAAACATTTTTTCAAATATTTAACTGTAAATTAACTTATAATGATTAAACTATATTTATAATTAGTTATAGAATCCTTTATTTACTGCGCACCTAAAATAAGAACAAATCGTTTGAGGGCATTTACACGACCAATTTTTATGTGGCAATTTTTCATATTTTTATGTGACAAATGTATTTGGTCGTGTAGATGAGATAACAAATAATTGTTGATTGCTGTTTAAAAAATATCTATGAACAACGGTATCTCGCGCAATAAAACTACAATTATATTTTTACAAATATGGCGGGAAAAAAAAATGACATTTTATGTGACAAGTAATCTACACGAGCAATTTTTCGTATGTGACAACTTTTATTTGTTACATAAAAGCTAACACGCTAGTTTTTCAGCAACTGCATGTATTTGCCAACCAAAAATTGCCCAATTGTCCTCGTCTACACGAGCAAATAAAAATTGTCATATAAAAATTGTCACATAAAAATTGGTCGTGTAAACGGGGCTTATTAATAAAACACCTCAAAGACAAAGAATAAATTTTTTCAACACCCTTTTTGAAAGGATGTCATTATAAAAAATAGCTAAAATAAAATAATTTCTTCTCGATTATCCGATACTGCATGTGAATAACCTCTCAAAAACTTTTTTGTAGGATTGTTGGCGACAATGTCGACCTAGAAGTTCATGCTAGAATTCAAACCAAAGATCATGGGAATAAATCTATTCACTGGACACATCAATTCGCAGAACGAGCTCGCATTGTCCCATCAATTCCTACAAAGCAAACCCATCAAAAAAGGTTAAAAGATGTCCAGCTGGTTGAATTACTGCCATCTGCCGACGTGTTGAACTCATTAAAGGAAACTTGGGGTATCCTCATCAGCAGAGTGCTATGTAAGTATGTCAAAGCGTTGAGATGTTTTAAAGATGTAGTGATCCATCATATTCCCCACAAATATTCTGAGAAAATGGCAAAGAAATCTACGTCGGTAAATATTTTTTACTATATTTTGAAACGTAAATGTCCGTATAAAATATTAGTTATAAAATACATATACAATTATACTCTCCCATTTTCCTAGTGAAGTGCCTCACCCCTCTAGCCCTCCTACAGAATAGTAAATAGTAAGCTTCTTTGGTCTGCATGCAAAATAGCCAATCCTTCAGATAGATTTTTACTCATATGTTCATTGTTTGATGACATTTTAGTGTTGCTTGGATTTGTACTTCTTAAACCCAAGAACCTTCTTAAACCCAAGACAAATATGTCCCGACTTCCACAGTCGATGGTAAAGATAGTGTGTTATTGCGTGTTGCACAGCATGGTGACCAGTTATTTGAAGAGAGGGGACGGAATGTTCAGTGGGCTTTTGGTGATGGTGCAAACCAGTATGACAGACTAGAAGGCTTAAGGACCGAATTTGCTGATTGGCATGCAAAATTTACACTTTACAAGGTGAATATACTTTGTATAATTCAATATACTCATATTTTTGTAGATACAAAAATAGAGCACCCCTAGCCTGCATCTGTTAACAAACTGGTTAGGCGGTGTTTATATGAGCCCCACATAAAGGGCTGTGCCCTATCAGTAGGGCTGATTTTCACCACTGCCCAAGGGCTGATTTCCTATTACAAGTTGCACTTAATGGTTTTGTGCAACTGATTACTTTTATTATGGTGACCAACAGACATTTCAATATTCATTTAGAACTACATTAAAGGTGATCTACAGTCCGATCTGCGCATGTGCACAAATGAGCCCACTTTTTATGATACAAACAGTTTAACTATGTTTTGAGTTCTTGAAAAGCCTGATTGTTGTTTCTTGATCATTTATTGTACTCTAGAAGCTTGAAAATATAAATAGTTGTCGAATAAAGCTCAATATTTTGGACACAAAAATGTAAACAAAGGCTTTGTTTACATACGGACTGTAGATCACCTTTAAAGCTTTAAAAAATTTAGTTTGAAGTCAATTTAATGGCATTTTTACTCAGCCCTACTGGAAAATTTCCATCCATAATATGCGAGATCTCGCCCAATAGGGCTTCTTGGTGGGCCTGCACATGGGTTAAGTAGGACTGGCCGGCTGGCCCTCCTGTCATATAAACACAAACAATGTATTAGCAAGTGTGATCTCACATAGGAATGCCAGCCCTTTATGTAGGAATCATATACATGTAAACAGTACCTTAGAAACCAACTTGCCCCATCCTGAACATTCCAGACTATGTTTTGCAGCTTGTCAACTTGTTCAGGAGTGGGCTGCCTGTAAACTAAAGTCATTTATAAGATACTGTCTATTTGTTTACAGTCTGAGTTTGATATATTCGTTAACACACAATCAGCTGCTGAGGTAGGAACAAGTGCCGCAAGCATAAACAGAACTGGAAAGACAAATGCTCGAAAAGGAATCCAGTCAAATTACAATGATTACAAGGATTTCCACGAAAGGGAAATGGAGGCACACATATGTGCAGCATTTATGGAGATGTTATCAATGAGTACACTTGAAGGTATGATAATCAATTTGTATATTTGTATGTTCAAGTTTTAAGCAGATGTATCCTAATCCTGTTTTACAAAATATGTTCACTTTTAAAAGTTGGAATATTGATATTTGTCAATATTGATAAGACATTAATGGTTTATAATTTCATTTTGATTCAACACATTAAAGCTGATAATTCGCCTGTAGCAAGTGAAATTGTCTTGCATATAGACAAATAAGGTATATAATATAAGTGCATTTGGACACATTGCATATCACATAATTATCTCACATGTGAAATCTATATCTATTGTATCTTAAATATTTAGATTCTATACCCAGTATGCCAAATAAAGATGTACCAAAAACTATCAGACAGAAATGGTTGTTGGATATTTGCAAAGGCATTGTGGACAAGTATGTCTTTGGAGTACCAGATGTGAATACACTTGTTGAAGAAACTCAAAATTTACAAAATGCCACGACAGCTGAATTTGTGTGCAGAGCACCAACATGTAATGCAAAGTACATACATCACTCAGGAAGAGTAAGGTACAGTATAGTACATATCTCCAATCAGGGACATCGGAATGGCTGCAAAAGTGGGGAGGGGGCACACTTTGCGCCTGTCAAAGGCACATGACAGCAGGTGGCATTCTAGGGGAGTCTGGGGCATGCCTCTTGGAATAATTTTAAAATTATAGTCTCTGAAGTGCCATTTCCTGCACATAGTTCTGAAGGTAACAAAATGTCATAAAATATCTGAAATTGTTTTGTCTACATGCATAACTGAAATGATATAATTTAACTTTGTGGTTTATTACTGATCATTGTTAAAAAGTTAGGGGGGCACAAAGACATTTAGGCCACTCAACTAAAAAAGTGGAGAGATGCCCCCCCAACTTCTGATGCCCCTGGCTCCAATACAATGAAGGAAATGTATAAAAATTTGTATGGAAATCATGGGTTCACTCTGTCTAATGTCATGGTTACTTAGAAGTACTCTATTCATGTTTTCAGGCATGAGATAAAGAATCATGGTCACCATTTTAACAAGATAGATGGTGAGCGAGATGAATATGGATATTACTACTGCCAACATGGTTGTGGCTATGTTTTTTCAACAAAAGCAACGAGAACAAAGTGAGAATTTAAATAATCAGACAACTTATAAGTTCATAGAACTACAACTATATATAACTATATGTAATGAATTAACCCTTTAAGTGGCAATGCACCCCAATGCGCCCCACTTTATTGTTTTACTCTGTCTAATGTCTCTGTCAATGGGTTAATCAATAGGTGCATTAACACATTGGATGACAATGCACTCAAATGTGCCCTATCTTAGTTTTCCTTGCTCTTTCTAATGCCAGATGTTTGTTGTCAAGGAGATTCTTATAATGCAATAAGTTTGCATGTATCAGTACCTTATAAACATATATTTAACATTTACAGGCATGAAGAACGTACACATGGTAGTGTTGCTGCACCTGTAAATGACACTGAAAGTGTTGATGATGATTGTAGTGAGCAAGACTATCTATACAACTACCACACTGCCAAGCTAACATATGGTTTACTTCTATTGGAATTCAACGATGCTGTAAAGGAAGGAGATGGAGAACGCTTATTCAAAGTGTATAAATTAGCAATGCTTTTCTATAGAAAGTATGGTCATTTTAAGTATGCATATGCAGTTCTTTTATATTCGAGCCAGATAAAAGCTATATTGTCAGAGTCAGAGGCATGTGATTTAAAGTGGAACAGATTTCACAACAAGTTTGGTGGAAAGGGTAGGAATATCCCTCTCGATTTGAAAAAGGAACAACAAAACAAAGTGTTGAAAACGATGTGGAAAGGTCTTGGGTCAAACCTGTCAGAACAGAGTGCATCTCGAGTACCTAAAGCATTAGATTCAATTGAAGATCCTATGAGCTCCATTGACACTGACTGTAGATTGGAAAAAAGGCAAGGACGAAATTCTAAGAAAGGTCCTGAAGAAAGCGTCACACAAATTCTTGGAGACTTGATGAAAAAACAAGTTTTTCTGCTTACCCCTGGACGAGAAGGTCACAAATCGTTTCCAAAATTTGAAGCGAACCTCTTAGAAGGACTAGATTACAGAGACCTTCACAAATGGATGACTGATCATCTTTCATTATGAAAGCTATGCATTCATCCATATTGCATTTGCACAAGGTCAAACAATTACTGCAGCAATCATGACCTGGTTCAAGTGGTTTAATATTTGGATCAAATGCACTGTAACTTGCTACCCTAAGACAGGATGTGGACTTAACAAATGACTTTACTTCGTCCTCACAGTGAGTTTACTGTTGTCCATGGTAAATAACCACAATATCTGGGTTTTTTTGTCATCACGACCGGCTCTCCCTGCTTCTTGATGGTGGTCTAACAAATTGCGTGCTGGACCCCAATTGATAATGTAACGAATGCCCGGGAAATTTACACCCATACTTAATGCTGTGGTAGCTACAACTAAGCGTACTTTCCAATTGCTTTTGAGTTGAGAAACAATTCTGTCTTTGTAGTTGTAGTTGTCCCAAGACATGGAATGATATATACCTATCAGACAATCCTCAGATTCCCTGGATGTTGGTGGACTGTAAGCAGATGACCCCAGCTTCAACATGAGATAGTTAGTCACGGTTGCAACATCTTTCATAGTGTGGCAAAACAAGATAGTTTTAGGTGTTTCAGATTGTTTTCTGTGACACAATTCAACCAACCAATCTAAATTGGAAAGTGCATCCTTTTTGGTAGTTTTGATCACATTTATCCGCAAATTTGTTCTGTTTGGGCTTAAAAATACTTCTAGAACATCTGAATTGATTACAAGGTCACACATGATAACTTCTCGTGTATGATTGTCTGCTGTACCAGTCAAGGCTAAGACAGGTGTTCCTGTTGTGTGAGAAAAGTACATATGTAAGTGTTTATATACAAGTAATTTAATCAATGTGAAACATGCCATATATTACTAATTTTCAATATTAGGTACAAGTAAACGTACCTTCCTTGCATAATGATCTCAAAATCGATAGATCACCATAGGCTGCTCTAAAGCTTTTTGCATTCTTGCAGCTATAAAAATACACACAAATGAATGTCATATGTTGATAAAAACAGTTGTGTATTTGAGCAAAGTAAACAGGTACACACATTTTTTTAAACCTTTTCTCTGTCCACATCTCAAAACTGTGTAAGATTCGTCAACAACTACCAAGTCCAACGCATTGTGTAATCTTGATGACCGGTCTTTAAGAATTTCAGTAAATGTCTTGCTGAGAACCTGTTCAGCTGACGCAAACACTACCTGGTGTGTATCACGATCACTAGCCTTCAGAAATTCATCGAGAGTGACACACTTCAAACCCAACGATTCTCCTTCCTTTATTTGATCCCCTATAATGCTGGTCAACGGCAGATCACCAAAACGATAGCGTTCGGTTCCATCGCTTGCGCTATCTTCTTGCAATTCATTGCCATCGGAAATATTTGAAAGAAGAGACTTTTACCATATCCCGTTGGCATAACGGCGAAAACATCTCTTCCTCCAAGTAACAATTGACAGTCTGTTCTTGTTTCGTTTTTAATTGAAAAAGTGACCAAATTCGATTTGCTCGAGAGCTTTTGTAATGAATACTTCGTTTATCTAATTATAGAATCTAACAGCAGACAGTCAATCAGAATGCCGCGTTCGTGGGCGAACGCAGAAAGTACAAAATACCAGGCCTTGCTTGCAGGCCCGCTATTCTTCCCTTGGGCCTGCACGTGGGCTACAACATATCTGACGAAGATCACAAATCTGAAGTATATGACACACTTACTAATATCCTGAATGAAATTGATGGTCTACCATTACATCCGAAAAACAAAATTCTCTTATACAGTCGTTATGTGCTTTCCAAAATCTCTTGGCACTTCACTGTTTCTGACGTAGGCAAAACCTGGGTTAATGATAAACTAGATAGTATCGCGTCCACATATATCCGAAAATGGCTCGAACTGTCACTTTCTGCAACCCTTAGTAACGTCCTACTTCCTCACGATAAATTTGGATTAAATATAATTTATTCTACCTTCAACCAAATTGTTTCAATGCCAAACTGTTTCTCGGAAAGCCCTAACGTCGTCGCCAAATGAAGCGATCAATAACCTTTGGAAGGATACTAGCAATCACAAAAATGTACAATATGACAAATACAAAAACACCAAGGACGTATAAACACTATCAGGAAACAACACGAAGACAAGCTTCAACACCACCTCATTTCACAAGGCTCATTCTTCTGTAATATCATTAAACATTCTACACTCTCATTCAACTCTATATGGTCCCCCGTTCAGAGTAAACTTCCCAAGAATATATTTAACTTCACTATTCGGTATATAAAAAACACTCTTCCGACTCGCAAAAACCTTCTGAAGTGGGGAATATCACCAAGATCCGAATGTTCGTTTTGTTTGAATCCCGAATCACTTCTTCACGTCGTCGCTGGATGAAAGACCTACCTAAATGAAGGACGTTTCACGCGGCGTCATGATTCGGTGCTTAACTTCATAACTAACTCATGTATAATTTTAAAGAGAAAAACAAGATCTGTGATTTCTCTACGCATATACAAAGGTAGAAGATGAAGTTTTTCTAGTCTAGATTTATAATCAACTTCATGACCTAGGATCAGACGAGAAGCTCTACGTTGCACCTTTTCAATTTTATTAATATTCCGTTTCTTATAAGGAGACCATACTGGGCTAGCATATTCAAGAGTTGGCCTCACCCAAGTAAAATAAAGCAGACGCTTCACACTGTTATCATCAATATCCTTTAAGGTTCGATATAATAGACCTAACATTTTCTGGGCTTTAGCAACTATATTATCTGTGTGAATATTCCAATTCAAAGTATCAGAAATCCACACACCTAAATCTTTTTCGCTTTGAACAACCGACAAATGCGAGGAGCCTAAAGTATACTGCCTATCATATATTGTACGTGTTCTAACAACCCTCAACACCTTACATTTTTCAACATTAAACTCCATGCCCCACTTAATTGACCAATCATACAGAGCATTAAGATCCTCCTGTAATCTATCCTGATCGCTGGCATTGAAGATAACTCGAAAGCATTTAGAGTCATCAGCAAATAAGGGTAAATAGGATCCTTGAGATATAACTTCCGGCATGTCGTTGATATACAACAAAAACAGGAGCGGTCCAAGGACCGAACCTTGAGGTACACCAGATGTTGCCGGAAGCCATTCAGAAGCAAATCCATCAATTACAACACGATGCCGTCTCTTATAAAGATAGGAGCGAAACCAAGAGAGCAAAGGATCGCGGATACCCAAAAGATGGAGCTTACAAATTAATTTAGAATGAGGCACACGATCGAAAGCCTTTGCAAAATCAAGATACACTAAGTCAACTTGTTGTTTATTATCCATAGATTGAGCAAGTAAATGAACAACCTGCGTAAGCTGCGTAGCACAAGAACGTCTAGGATAGAAACCATGTTGTGAAGTTGTTATTTTGTTTTGTTTATTTTGTTAAGTTGTATTTTTATTTTTCATGACTGGTTTTCTATCATTAATTTATCATATCTTTGGAAATTTTCAAAAGAAGAAAAGAAATCTAGTAGTAATACTTTAAAAATTATAGACACGATGACTAACCCTAACTTGGGGACACTAAACTTTAAGGTGAGAATCAAGTTTACTTTCTTCATCCACGGTTTCTGTTTACATATTTTGATTTGTTTTAGTCATATTAAAAGCGTACAATATCTAGCAAATAATATATTTCCATTTGAGAAAACCTAAGCATAATCTTTGACTCTTTTAAGGTCGTTTTGACTCTTTTTTAATTTTAAAGTAATGCATATTTTCAAAAATATGTTAACGCACAAATAATATGAAAAATAATAATATGAAAAACACTTCGGTGATGTGGGTATCCTGGATAAATATGAAGATAATAATAATAACGCAGGTTGTTATATTTTCGCACTCGCAGTGGTGTAGTCCGACCTAAAATCTAGCAAAGAAATAGTCAGTTTCTCCACTCTATTTCCATATCTCTCAAAGAATTGTTCAAGCTGATTGACAATGGCGGCTTATTTTGGAGCTCCATTATAGTTTTATTTACCTTCGTTTTTACTATTTTCAAATCCTGTAAATAAATGTGAAATTGTCTTATCTTGCACTACAGAGCGTTGTCGTGGCTCGACAAAACGAAAATTCCTAAAGTCCGTTGTACGATACACGGGTAAATGGTGTGTCCACTTTCAACCCAGCTCTCTTCAATCTTGAGCTTTTAATTGCTGGAGATGTGGAATCAAACCGGCCAGGAGATAGCGCTGATAATCGTAACACATCTCAACTAAAGTTGCCATGCAACCATGGCAATGAGAATTGGTCAATGGAACGTTGAACATCTAACAGATTCAAAATTTGAACAAATAAGTTTGATCTTAACGACATGCAATAATATCGATATTTTGTTCTTATTGGAGACTTTTCTCAAGCCCTGGAAGCCTGATTCGTTGTATGATATCCCTTGGAACAGTTTATATCGGAAAAACAGACGTGGGTCGAAGGTTGGAGGCGGTTTGCTGGCGTTTATGGCAGATAGAGTTAAAGCAAATAGGAACTGCAAATTAGAAGACGACTTCGTTGAATCACTTTGGTTTGATGTGCATGTGCCCTCACAAATCAACAGATCTATATTCGTTGGGGCTATATATCGTCCCCATCCACAAATATGGATAGCGATGCAAAAATCGAACATCATATTGAATCAGTGTATTTAAAGAGTAAGGAAATGATTAAAGTTTTTAAGAGTTTAAATATGACTCAACATGTGACAGCAGAAACATGACCAAAGAGTAAATCCTGCTCAGATCATGTGAACGCAACTGGTTCTTGAAATAGTTATGAAATTATTGTGCCTAGTATTGGTATGTCAGATCATGTCCCCGTATTCGTTTGTAGAAAATATTTCAACCATACGAAGGATTCTAGCCTTTATAGGTCATTAATAATATTATTGTGCATGCATACGCTCAACATTGGATTACTCCTGTCCTGTTTTCCATTATGCTCTTCCATTATATCTAAAAGAAGATTTAGAGCGCATCCAGAAAAGAGCGTTGAGGTGTATCTTTCCAGGTGTTCCGTACTCTACCTACCGCCCTGGAGTTAGCTAATATCCAATCCATTGACGATCATCATGAAGCCCTCACTAACAAACTATTCCAGAACATAAAGGAAAGTCCCGATATCGATAGCAAGCTGAAACATCTGCTACGGGAAAGACATGAGTCTAAAACGTATAACCTGCGGGTACAAAACCCCTTGGTATGGCCAAGAAATAAAACTAAACGTTTTTCTAACTCATTTATAATTGCTGGTAGTAATTAAGGCATATAATCAATCAAATAAGAAATGTATATTTTAGGCTAACGAAATTTTTAAACGATTTTTATAAGGAAATTTTGTAAATATAATAATTTACGGGTATTTTAAGATTAGTAGAACCTTTAAGAACTTAGAGTAAATTATCTATGTAATAAGTCACGCAATTCAGTTTCTACTGCCATGTGATCTTATCAATAAACTTTTTGATATAGATTTGGACAAATATGATGGCGATAACAAATTTATTAAAGAACGACGTTTGGAAGCCATCTTGACCTCATTTTCAAGTTCAAATTATAACAGAAAACGATTAAATTAATATAGATAGTGTTTAATAAGTAAACTTACCGATTAAATTGAAAAAATAGAGTAAACTTTAATTAAAATCTGTACATCTTTAGTAGAAAATACGAAACACTTACAGAAGCGACGAAATTATAATTCTCTTCTGAAATTTTCATCAACAAATTTCCTACAAGAGCACTAAGCATGCAGGTGTAGAAACACTTAATGTTTGTACGGATACATATTCATAATTGCTGAATTAAATATTTATGCTTTTCGTTTAAAAATTGCCTTTTTATTGCTAATGAAATTGCAATGATATAATAGTATCTTAAAAACACATTATAGAACTTTTCTTAAAAACACATTCTAGAACTTTGTAATGAACATATAATAAACTGAATACCGAGATACTTTAATCTTCATGTATTGAAGAATTCATTTAATTATTCAGGTTCTTCATTATCACGCAGCACGTATTATATGTAGGAAAGCCATTGCAATTTTAGTGATGAAAAAACAGAAATAGACTATGTTATCTCTTTATTTGTGAAAAAATAATACCCTTATAATATCTTCCTTCAAACATTTTTTATTTAAATACTATATATATATATATATATATTACATGTACATATATATAATTAAAGGCCCAGATATTGAAGAAACCTAGGAAACAGTATGTACATGTGAAATTCCACCAGGCCCACTAACTGTGATTTAATGCTTTTAAGAAAATTGTAATGGGCCGGGTCTACTCTTGTTAGAACAATAATGCTACTAATACATCGTCCATTGCATGCTTAACACAATTGTTGTTCCAACATGAATCGATATTAACTTAATTGGTCAGACATTTTCCATTTTTAAAGAAAATTTTCTTTATTTTTACTCTATATTCTAAGTGAAATTGTGACTATACGAAGCAATAGGCTATTTATAGAGAGCTTCGTACTCATGTGTTACTTTCCTGAATTTTTACCTCCGCGTGAGCTGTGAATTCAAGGCAAATTGTCGGAATGTTTCGACTACAGTCGAACCTCTATTAAGTGACCCTCCATTGAAACGGGCACCCTCTATTAAACGACCACATATCGAAGTCCCGAAATTTTTGTAATATAAATACTATAAACTATCCCTCTATTAAACGGCCACCTCTATTAAGCGGCCGCGGCCACCCAAAGAGCGGTCCGAAATGATGTTTTATGTCAAATTATACCTCTATTAAGCGGCCAGCCTGCAGGATTTACTTGGCACAACACCTTGTCAAGAGAGCCGAAAATAAAAGTCAAGCTAAGTTGCTTTATTTGTAAAATAAGGCTTAAAAATTATGTTTTAACACATGCCACTTTACACCTCAAAAGCTTTACACCTCAGAAGCATTGACTACGCCCAGGATCTATTATTTGCGTACCTCTATTTTGCGGCCACCTCTATTAAGAGGCCACAAAGCCGATCCCAGAGGGTGGCCGCTTAATAGATGTTCGACTGTATATGCAAGAGCAATTTGCTACACGCTCCCCTATGTATACCCAGAGAGTTTACGTGTCATGATACGAACTCTTTCCCAAATTTTAACTCTAATGGGAAGAATTTTTTTATCATTGTTAAGCTTATATCTGCCCGTATTTGGGATGTTGCATAGCTTTTGGTCTGGTCATTCGAAGTTGCTCACGCGGACACCACGCACGTATGGTTTTATCCACCGATGAATATCGCTTGTTTGCACCCTAAAAGATGGTTGGCTTTCTTAGATATTTCTCTTCGATGAAATGATGTGCTCTTTCAATTCAGAAATTTGTTTGGTTGGTGTGCAGCATACAATTTTTTTTTTGTGTTGGTGTTGTGTACTCAGGTGAATATGATATTTGTGATGTTACTCTGAGTATATATCCACACCGGGCGAGCTTGAAAAATATACCCGGCCACGGTGGGATTCGAACCTACGACCTTTGGAATACTAGCCCAATGCTCTTCCAACTGAGCTACGTGGTTAGGACGGTTCGAGTAAGTGATATTTCAGAACAGAATCTAGTTCCTTTGGGCTAGTATTCCAAAGGTCGTAGGTTCGAATCCCTCCGTGGCCGGGCATATTTTTCAAGCTCGCCCGGTGTGGATATACACTCAGAGTAACATCACAAATAGCATACGATTTGATGTGAGCACCTATTCATTCATCCTCCAAGTAACACTTTATCGCGATTGATCGCTATCTAGATGTCCATTATACATGACTATTTCAAGCTCCGCACACCTTAACTTAATGCACTATTGCCGAATAAACTCTAAAATATACCAATTACACGTCTTAATCTACTTGATAGGCACTGGCCCGAAGT